CAGGCAAGAAGGAACATCAACAACACTGCCCAGAAAATACTGTCAGAAACCATCTTGTTCTCTTGGGAGAGGAATGACTTCCATGATTCCACTATCTCCATCATAATTATTTAGCCAGAAAAACCTAGCAATGATAAGCAAGCAGATACTGTGCTAAAGCAATCCAAATTCAAGTTGAACTCTGTGGTGCATGGATTCCTCTTCTGCTTTTAAAAACATAGGAAGTTGCCTCCTGCAAGTCTAGTCAATGATGCGTTAAGAACAAACCTCGGTTTACAGCTCATGGTTCGCCTGGATTGAGACAAACCACAAACTTGGATGACACGCTATGCCAAACCATGGTGTAGAGCATAGCAGTAGCAGCAAAGGTGATGCAAAATGGCCACAATCTCCTCTCCAGGGGCCTGTCTACTTGAGCTGAGCCATGCAAACTGAGCCAGTGTATTTAAAGCAGGGGTCGGCTAGGTTTACCTCGCCTGGGCCAGTTCACTCCAGCGGAGATCCCTCCATGGGCCGGATCGCGCCCATCCGCGATTTCCAGCGTCTGCATCTGCGCAAATGCAATTTCTGGTGCCGCAGAAGCAAGTCCCCACTGTGACGGTTTAGCACAGCATGTGGGGACTTGCCAAACAGGCGGCTCGGTTTGTGGGCGGCTCGGGGGCCGGTTAAACGACCCCCGTGGGCCGCTTGTGGCCCATGGGCCTTCGGTTGCCAACCCCTTGTTTAAAGAATGGAAAGCTATTATGCCAAATATCTAATTGCCTCAGGAACACAAGAGTCACACAAGCTACAGGTGCACAGGACAGGCTCTTTTTTTGAAGCAGACGTCCGATTCCCTTTTATAATCATGCACTTCATAGCCCAAGACTGGGAAAGCCTGTTTTTAATTGCTAGAGGAGCTATGGTGTAAAAATTAAATACACACTTAAAAGCAAATCAAACTAGGGTTCATTATCTTCAGCCATCAATTTCTAATCTGTGCATTGTCCATACGACAATGAGGAAAGGCTGGCTGTTATCTTCTGAAATTAACATGGCTTTCCCACAAACCAGAGTACTGAGAGGGGTTTTGAAATTTGCTGAGTGCAGCAAAACAGTTCTTATTGGCAGTAGCTCAGTGGCTGGACATTGGCTGTGAATGCAGAAGATCCCAGCTTCAGCCTTCAGGTAGGGGAGGGAATGTCCCTTGGCTGAAATCCTGGTAGGCAATGCTGACATAGATGTACCGTGGTCTTTCTTTAAAGCTTCATATGGTCAATAAATGGCAAAGTAATCCTTCCTTTGCACCAAAACACGAAGGGAAATTGAAATGGAATGCATTCAGTCAAGGAATGACGACCAAGGTGTGGGGAAGAGGTAATTTCTACCCTAGGCACCACATTTTTAGGTGCCTGGATTTTTTCCCTAGCCTTTGATTACTACTTCATATGATATAAATACACACTCAAGCCTTGTTAAGCTCTTTGGCCTTGTCTCTGCCCTGTATCATTTCGGCTACTTGTTTACATTGAACCGCCCCCAGGAGAAAAGCAAGGAAGAGGATGAGACCCACAAACCCCATTTCACTTGGCCTTGTTGTTAGCCGCTTTGAGACTCCTTAGGGTAGTGATAAAGCGGGATATCAAATCCAACCTCCTCTTCTTCATCATCTCAGAAGCTATGTGCACGACAAGGGATGGTATGCCCTTATGGCAAATTAAAAAATGAACTTCCTAATGAATAATTGGAAAAGTTCCCTGAGCTTACAAGCTTTAGTGGAGTGAATTAGACAGCTTTTTCTGCCCCGTGCAAAATAAATTAAGCAACAGCACCATTACAGGAATGATTCTGCGAAGCAGCCACCCACAAGTATTATGGGAGAATATTCTAACGATGACAAGATGCCACTTTTTATTATTATTATTTTAATCAAAACACCTCCTGTCTGCCTCCCACAAATATGCTTCCTGGGGTCCACACAAGAGCGGACTCATCTGCAAGTTCCCAGCCCCCAGCCCCAGAATCCACCTTTTTGGAAATAATAATAATAATAATCCACAGAACAGTCTTCTCCCTGCCAAAGAAAATGAATGTCCATTTCCTACCCTCAATTCTTCCTACAAAGAGGAAAACAGTCATTAACACTGAATATTAGGCTAGAACCCTTCACCACATGCCAGTTTTCTACAGGAGGGTTGTGTCAAGGCCTAAAAGAAGGCATAGGTAAACTCGGCCCTCCAGATGTTTTGGGACTACAACTCCCATCATCCCTAGCTAACAGGACCAGTGGTCAGAGATGATGGGAGTTGCAGTCCCTAAACATCTGGAAGGCCGAGTTTGCCTATGCCTGCCTAAGAACATAGTTGGTAAACTAAGGCCCGGGGGCCAGATGCGGCCCAATTGCCTTCTAAATCTGGCCCGCGGACGGTCCGGGAATCAGTGTGTTTTTACATTAGTAGAATGTGTGCTTTTATTTAAAATGCATCTCTGGGTTATTTGTGGGGCATAGGAATTCGTTCATTTTTTTTCCAAAATATAGTCCGGGGCCCCCACAAGGCCTGAGGGACAGTGGACCGGCCCCCTGCTGAAAAAGTCTGCTGACCCCGCCTAAGACGAAATGGGGTCAAAAGGGAGAACCTGGTAGAGAATCCGTGTTTCACAGGCCTCAGGCCTTCATATATCTGTAAAACAGGATTATTTTTCATATTGAAGAACACTCAGTAATGCTGCTGCTCCCTCGCCCAGCCACAGTATGAAGACCAAAACCATAAGAAAAAAGTCAGGCCACAAACATCCCACTAACATCAACAACTGGTCACAGCTAGACATTTAAAGCAGTGTCATTTTATCACTCATAGGTTCCCTCAAAGCATCATGGGAACTGTAGTTGGTACTTATAGCTCTGCAATGGGCAAACTACAGTTCCCAGGAGTATCTGGAGGAAGCTGTGACTGCTAAAGTGATATAAATGTGTTTTAAACGGGTGGTGCCCAGCATCATCTGAGAAAAAACTTTGCCTTTGCCTTTTTGGCTATACTTCATCCTAGTGTAATTATACCAGATTCCCTCCATTTCCTGCTTGTTGCAACTGCACTTCCCATACCCATCGGAAATGAACGGAAGGTTTGAAAAAGATGCTCTGCCCAAAGAAACACGGTCCGTTTAGCAGCAATTTCCCCATTCCTCCTTGTTTTATCTCACTGGGCATATGTTGCTGTTACGCTTGGGAAATCTGAGGCAGAGAGATTATCTTATCCCCACAGTCACTCAGCAAAATCAGGATTTGAATTCACTTCCGGTCCCAACTCTAAACCTACAGGGCGACAGATCTTTAAGTGAATCCCCTAGTACACAGATCAGCACTGAGGCTAACCAGTGAGGAACTGCAAAGCGCACTCAGCGGAGGCCTCTCCGGGAGGAAGGAAATCAGTGGTAAAAATTCCAAACATTCCAAGCTGCACCTAGAATTACCACTTCTACATGTGAGATCAGTGCTGAGCAGACATGATACAAAGGAGATGGTTGGGGAACCTTTTTAGGATTGGCACAGTGCATACTTTGCATCTAGAAAGCTTTGGGTTCAACGTCCCTCCCCCCAAAAAAATCTCCAACCTGCAACCCCAGAAAGATGTAGCAATCAGCTGGCCTTCCAACTGACAGCCTGATCCCAAGTGAGTCACGACAGCACCAGCACTCCTATACAAAAATATACTGTAAAAAACGAAATAAATTGGTCCACAAATGCATGTTTGGTTTGTAGGTGGGTCCTAGGTCTGAAAATGCCAAAGACTGCAAAGCTCAATGGTCTGACTCAATATAAGCCAGCCACACACTTCTGCAGCCAGAGTAATCAGTTCCAAACACCATTTTCCCTAGGTTTCAAACAGGCCCCCCCTCCACAATTTTTTTTTTGAGAAGCACATTCTTGACACTTGAGTCTTCTCTTCCTCCTCCTCCGCCCCCTCCTTTGCTACAGCCTTCCCCTTCCATCCCACAGACAAGATCTCAACTGTATAAACGCCAGAAGATAACTGCTGGCGGAAAAGAAAAGAAAAGAAAAGAAAAATGAGAAAAGGGGTGCAATTAAAAGATTCTGCCTTCAGAGAAAGCGCTCCCCCCCCCCAACTCTTTGGCCTTGGTCCTAGCGAATTTCTCTTTGACGGAATGGCAAAGCACATCATCAGAGGGGCAAAAATAAATAAAAGTAAGAGCTAATTAAGTGAAATGTTTTCAAGGATGGGGAGGGAGGGAGAAGCAAGAGTTTTTGCTTCGCAAAGTTTTACTTCTCCTCCTCCCCTCCTTCTTCCAGCGTTCCATTTCCTGGTAATGTGCCATTTTGTTCGAAGGGGGTGGGTGGCGGTAGGAGAAGAGAGCGTCTGGCACGGGAAATCAAAAGTTTCCAGATATTTTTTTTTTTATTTCCCCCCTCCTTTCTCCGCCCCCCCCGCTCCGTTTGCCAGTGGCGTCAGCGAGGAAGGGAGGGGCCTGGTGGGAGGACGGGCTGGAGGAGAGACGTCTGCGTGTGTCTCGGTCTCTTTTCTCCAACGTGCCCCCTGGATCCAGACATTTTGGAAAGGCTTCGGCTCGCCTTCCCAAAGCGCAAAAATTAATAGCAAACACCGGGGCGTGGGGACCGGGTAACCTCTGGCTGCGTTGCAACTACAGGAAGGAGCAGCAGCAGCGTTGGCTGGTTTGCCTCCACCTGAAGGGTATCAAAACCTCCTCCCTCCAAGGCATCGTCCAGAAGGGGGCTGCTAGGCAATGCGCGACGCTGGCGCGCAGCGGAGGAACCCCGGGCCAAACCTTCGCCTTTGCGCGGGCCGGATTCCATTCCCCCGTCTGGCCCTCCCCGCTTTACTCACGCGCAACACAACCCCCCCCCCAGGTCGTTGGCAGGGAGGGGCACAGTTTGCATTCACGCACAAACATGTAAGATCCCATATGGAGACAAGGGAAATCCCATTTTTACGCTTCCCAACGGGGGTTGGGTGTGTTGTTGATTTTATTTTATTTTATTTTTTGCACTGAAACCTGCGTTGCTTTGTTGCTTTTAAATATATATATATATATTAAATAATGCGATCCTTTAAGTTTGATGTGGATTGAGGGCAAGCCGGGAGGCCGGAGATGGAAGCCCCTGTTTAAAGCACACGATAGGAAGTGCGCCCAAGCAAAAGGGCGGGCAGCCGGGCAGAAAAGGCAGCGGCGAGGAGCCTGTCTGGATTGCTAGGTTATGATGGTGTGTCTGTCTCCCTCTCTCGCCTTCCCCGCAAAAAAAATAAAAATGCACACACACACACACGAAATCGTATTGCAGCTCTAGCACTCAGGCTGGCTCCCTTACAGATGGGCTCCGGCACCAGCAGCAAACCGTTTTCTTCCCTCCTCCATTCCACGCCACCAGACCCACAAAATATATATATCAGGCGCCCGCGTCTCCGCCGCTAACCCTTTGCATCCAAGGCCTCGTTCCCAAGCCAAATTCCAGGAAATGGGCGGGGGGGGGGAGCGAGAGAAGGAATGGACTTCTCCTGCCACTCTGAATTTGCAACGGCGAGGAAATCGGTGCCCAACCGAGAGCACCCGGAGAGAAACGCATTCTTTTTTCCCCCTCTCCAAAAAAAGAGTCTACTTCGCATTCTCTTCTTCTGTTTCCCCCACCCCAGCAAACATTTATGTCCATTCCCCTAAAAAAAAAAGAACTGAGCAAGCCGTGAGTCCCTAGTTGCTCCTTCCAGAGAGTTTGCGTAGGCAAGGACCCGAAAGTACTGGAAAAAATAGTGGTGTAACTTAAACGAGGAGTAATTGGGCAATGAGGCGGCGAGGGAGAGAGGGGCGCACGGATCGGAGAGATCCTAAAGGCGCCGGGCAAGGAGCAAACTGGAAAGAGAGAAAACCCAAAACTTTCCGGAGATCCCTCATTGCCCCTTCTTTCCAGGGAGCCTTTGCCCCCCCTCCCACTTTACTCCCCACCGCCTTCCCGATCCCGACCCCCAAGGCAAGCCCAGGCTAGACGCATCCTTTTGAGCACACACACCGTTCACACTCGGGGAGTTTCCACTTCGGAAACAAAAGGAATCCGGATTGGGAAGAGGCGTGGGGGGGGGGCCGTAGCAAAACCCACTCGGAGTAGTAAAAGGCAGAGAGGTGTTGGGGGGGGGGGTGAGAGAAGCTCCAGTATTTCCGAGTTATATTAAACTCGGCGTCTTTATTTTTTTAATTGCAATCAGAATACAAGCCCCGGAGCGAATCTTTTATTTGCATTTGCAAACCGGGGCGGGAGGGGAGGGAAATTCGCCTCTCGCCTGGCATTTTCTAGCCTGGGGGGGTTGATACGGGGGGGGTGGGAAGGAGAGAAAGACGCCTAATAAGAGCAGCCTTTTCGCTTACCTTGTGTTGGAAACGGGGGCTCGGGGGTGCTGTCTTGGAGAGAATGGCCCTGCTCGTTCTTCGGAAGAGGGAGGCGGGCGGGCAAGTCCGGTAAATCCCCGGGCTGTGTGGCTGGGCGGGCAGGCGAGCGAGCTGGAATAACTACCAGTAGGGTTTGGTGGGGGATTCCGCCATGTCAATGATGTCGGACCACATGGGGATTTGTGACCAGCCCACATACCATACAGTCTGGATTAGAAGCTACTGTGGGAAAGGAGAGGGGGAGGAAAAAAAAGAAATCAGCTGAGGAGGGAGGCGGGCGCAGAAAAACCAGAGCCTGGAGGAGGAAAAGGAGAGGGTGGGGAGAGAGAGAAAGAGAGAGGGAAAAAAGAGGCACTTTGCAAATTTATTAACCGCCTTGCGTTAAAAAATAAAGCACGGAGTGCTCCCTTTATTTCTTTTTTTTCCCCTCCAGCAAGACTGAGGAGTTAAAAAAAATTATAGTAAGATGAAGATGCTAGAGCAAGCGAGTCTACCCAGACTGCCATCTCCAACACACTTTGCTCATGAGTAAACCCTACTGGGACACACTTTGCAGAGCCTTACTGAACTTGGGGAAGGGCGCTTGCTTCATAGGATGGGGTTGAAATGCTACTAACCTGTTCCCGGAGAGTCACCTCACCAGCACCGCTGGACTCGCTTGCTCTCGAGTAAGAGCGCACAGGTCCGAGCTGCGCGCCTGCGTGCCAATGCACTATTTTTTTCCTCTTTTTTTTTTGAGGGGGGGTTTGCACTCTTTTTTTTCCTTTTTTGAGGGGGGGTGCTCAGTCTGTACAAGCGTGCATTGGGTCAGACTGCGAAGAAGAGGAAGGAGGCTGAAGGGGGCACCTCTGAACACACGCCCCCCCCCGCATTCTCCCAGGATGCGCTAATTCATTCCTCTCCCATTCATCCGCCACACCCCCCACACCCCGTTTGCGGTTTGTTACCCCGCAATAATCCCCCCGGAGGGCACATAAAACAAAATCAATTAATAACAGTTTAGTTATGCTGCGCCTTAACATGAATCTCACCCGCCCATCCATGCTGGAGACAGAACGAGGACACAGAATAATTGCCCCAACAACTGCAAGTTGAAAACCAAGTTGGTCATTTCTTCCAAAATAACACAAGAGTTTTGTGTGTGAAACACAGCAATCTTAGTTATGCCTGTTCATTCACTATGTTCAAAGAAACAGTTTATTCTCAACTGGAAGTATGGATTGGGTAGCACATTTTATTTTTAAAAACCCCATAAGTTTTTTTTTTTAACAATGCCATCCTATGCACCTCTACTCAGAAGTCCTACTGAGTTCAATGCGGCTTACTCCCGTGTAAGTGGATACAGAATTCCTGCGTTTAAAAAAAACAAAAACCATGACTCAGTATATATGGAATGTCTGCAATGCTCCCGTTATATAGTTTTTTTCTTTGAAATTAAAAGAAACTGCAACATAGTGTGTTTGTTTTTAACCATGCTCTTTTAAATAATAAATCAAAAAGCTGCCCTGAGAAGTCACCCCTCCTGGTCACAGATGTGTGGGGGTGGGACTGGGACGGGTTCCTGGAAAAGGCACTCTGAACATGCTTAGGAGCAGCCCTCTTATCCCAGCACACCCTAGCTGTGCCTTGGCATTCGGAACAGTGTCCAGGAGGCCTGTAACATCCACCAACAAAATAATATGAAGCAGCTGTTACATTGGTCTGACACAATGGAAGTCTGTCCACACTCTCATCCCATGCAAACAACTGGGAGCCATATGAAAATGGGCATTTCAAAAGGTTTCGAAACCAGTTTGGCTCCCTTAGCCACCATGCAAAATACAAACACAGATTGGGGGTGTTTTTGTTTTGTTTTAGAGTAGCCATTTCCACTGCTTGTGAGAAGCCAAATCAACAATGAACCCTTTCTGAAGGGCATGCGCACTTTGAGTGAGATGCATCTCATGAAGAAGGATACCAGAACCCACAGAAATTCATGCCATAGTAACGCAAAGGTTCACGCCATCTTGTATTTATTAGTACTGCAATATCCTTTGTTGGTTTTTTGCTGCGACCGACTCACATGGCTTCGGTGCCCCTCAGGCAAATTATATAATCACACAGATCTTTATTTTAAATTTGTTGCTGTTGTTTAAATGAGTGTTGTGGAAGGTGTCAGCGCATGAAAGTGAATGCAGGAATATTTTAACTCTGGCCTGAGGAAAAGCCCGCCATGCAAATTCAAAACTTTGCATGCTTTTCCCCCCACCAACAGAAGATAAGCAATTGCAGTATTTTGTCTCACCTATTGATACAGTGGTACCTCGGGTTAAGAACTGAATTCGTTCCAGAGGTCCTTTCTTAATCTGAAACTGTTCTTAACCTGAAGCACCACTTTAGCTTAATGGCGCCTCCCGCTGCTGCCGTGCCGCCAGAGCACAATTTCTGTTCTCATCCTGAAGCAAAGTTCTTAACCCGAGGTAGTATTTCTGGGTTAGCGGTGTCTGTAACCTGAATCGTATGTAACCTGAAGCATATGTAACCTGAAGTGTATATAACCCGAGGTACCACTGTATGTCCTATCTAGCACCAATGCAGCAAAACCACAGAGCAGCACCTAGATCAAAGGACTGTATGTCCTCCATGTGTCTGTTGTTAGCACACAACTCGACACAGAAATCAAAAGCATTCTCAAAACCTCAGCTTCCTCCTCGTTTCATATATCAAATTGTTAACGGAGCAAGTTTTCTGAAGTTTCAAATTAATCAAAGGATAAAGAAATGAGTAAGTTCCTAGCCATCACATAAAAAACTTTTAAGAAGTCTCTGGATGAGATCCCAGAACCCAGGCTGGAGGGCGGGGATTATGACCTTCATTACTCAGAGAGCGAGGTCACAGTGACTTGTGTGCAGTTGACTTTCTCTTCCTTTTGCCTGGCAAAAGAAAGAAAAAAATAAGCCACTTACACAACAGGCAGATTTTCCAGCATTCACCTTTCATTCAGATTACATAATTTACAAAGGAAAGAGACTGAAAATTTGGTTTGGCACAATTTATACATGTGCCCTATTGGCATCAAATTACACTCAGTTGCATCCTGAGCTATTTTTCTAGAAAAAGAGGTGCCAGAACTCACCATGAACGCCACCCTTGTTCTCTTATAATGGCAAGGGCACCCATCTGAGAGGCACCAGAACTCAGTTCCAGTGAGTTCCGGCTGAAAAAAAGCCCTGGTGATATCAGAATATTTGATATGGCTGCCCTATCTCTCCCTTTGTTTCTTCCATCCTTCCTCATTATTTCTTCCTCTCTTTTTTTCCTTCTTTTCTTTTTCTTCTGCACCTTTTCTTTTTGTCTGCATATTGGGTATGACAGAGAAGCAACCTTTAAGGTGGCTGTATACTTTATGAAAGGGACGCAGGTGGTGCTGTGGGTTAAACCACAGAGCCTAGGACTTGCCAATCAGAAGGTCGGGAGTTCGAATCCCCACGACGGGGTGAGCTGCCATTGCTTGGTCCCTGCTCCTGCCAACCTAGCAGTTCAAAAGCACGTCAAAGTGCAAGTAGATAAATAGGTACCGCTCCAGCGGGAAGGTAAATGGCGTTTCCGTGCGCTGCTCTGGTTCACCAGAAGCGGCTTAGTCATGCTGGCCACATGACCCGGAAGATGTACGCCGGCTCCCTCGGCCAATAAAGCGAGATGAGTGCTGCAAGCCCAGAGTCAGTCATGACTGGACCTAATGGTCAGGGGTCCCTTTACCTTTACCTATACTTTATGAAACCCATGCCTAAAACATATTTAAAAATTGGTTTTTGTTAATCATATATTTTTAAAGTTTTAATTTGTTATAAACTTTTTATAATCACACAATTACATGCAGAAGAGCATGCCTGGGTGATCTAGGAATACTGCAGATTAATTTTAGGGGTCCGAGATGATAAGTTGGGTTTCTTTAAGGTGCAGGCCTCAAATCAAAATCAATGGCTCCCTATAAATCTATAAACCCCTATAAACTTTTTACTTGTCTTTTTACATTCCCTTCTACAATTACTAAGAAATTCTTCCTGAAAACCATATTTATAATGTTCCCGATGGTGTATGTGGTTGAATATATTGTTGTTATTACTTATTAATCACTTGCTCCCTAAAAAAAGTTTCCAAGTGACTTATATTTCACCACATAAATGCATTATACCATAAAAAAATGAAGAAAGGTCACATATTTCTTTTTATAATTCAAGCACACACACTGACAGCACACTAGCGCATTCTATTATCACAATACATCACACACTCCATTTTTAAAAAACACATTCCTTTACCCACAGTATATTAATCTTCCAAAATTCACTAACTCCCAACTCTTCAAAATCCAATAATCTAGGGTGGTTCTTACTTTTTTCTATTTGAAACTGATGATCACAGGTGCTGCTGTTAATAAATGGATTACAATTCCTCTATCTTCCAGCAATACTATCTGGCAGGCATATCATATATTGTTATACCTTTGGTTTTGTTCATTGTAACTGTCCCAAAAGACGGGTTTGGGGCACGACCACAATATACGGGCCATATTGCCAAATGCTCTTCAGCATCTCATAAAAACTATTATAGGTTGTCTGTGCAGGGGGATCAGTCAGAAGGATAACCATGGGACCCTTCCAGGCATGTGCTTCTGCATTCTTGGGACTGAGAATCTCAAAGCATCAGATGCTGAACCAGCCCAACCAGTTCCTTTATTTGACTAAAGGCCTTATTAATCACTCAGCTAAAGACTATTGGGACGCGGATGGCGCTGTGGTATAAACCACTGAGCCTAGGGCTTGCTGATCAGAAGGTCGGCGGTTCGAATCCCTGTGACGGGGTGAGCTCCTGTTGCTCGGTCCCAGCTCCTGCCAACCTAGCAGTTTGAAAGCACGTCAAAGTGCAAGTAGATAAATAGGTACTGCTCCGGTGGGAAGGTAAACGGTGTTTCCATGCGCTGCTCTGGTTTCGCCAGAAGCGGCTTAGTCATGCTGGCCACATGACCCGGAAAAACTGTCTGCGGACAAACGTCGGCTACCTCGGCCAGTAAAGTGAGATGAGCGCCGCAACCCCAGAGTTGTTCGCAACTGGACTTAACTGTCAGGGGTCCTTTACCTTTTTAAGGACCCTATTTGCATGGCTAAAGGGGTGGGCCATGTGTTGCCACAGCAACAACTAAGTGATGGTGATCTTCAAGAAGGGGGTGGGCATTTCCCCCACTTTCTCACCTGGCTGGATGTCATGACATCCTAGGATGAGATCAATAGGCCTCTCATCTTCTGTTTTGCTCAATTCATAGTTGTCATAGTTGTAGGGCCCTGCAGTGCCTGCTAGACTAGGCATTCAGTGGGTCATGCTGCTCTCAACCTGCCTCTGTGGGGATCCCCTGGGAACCTGATGGGAAGGCAGAATTTGTAAAAGAGTATTAATGTGTGAACCCTTCCATTCTGTGCTCTGGATGTGTATCCGTTTAAACAAAATCATATGTCCTAAAGACACCGCCAGGTAAGGACTCAAACCCCCATGGTCTCTCACTGCTCAGAGATCGGGGTGCATACAACAAAGCATATTTTTGTTTCTGTGTATACCCAGTTAACCCCTGAAGGTGAAGAAATGCCGTAAGAAAATATTTGTGCTTGAAGTTCGTTAGGAAACATGTTCCCACGGCCATTTCGATACCTCTGGGTCTATTTCCAATCCCCTATATCCCGCTTGTTCTGGCATGCGTTCCTGGAAGTGCCTGTATTATAGCATATACCGTATTTTTCGCTCTATAAGACGCACCAGACCACAAGACACACCTAGTTTTTGGAGGAGGAAAACAAGGGGGAAAAAATTCTGAATCTCAGAAGCCAGAACAGCAATAGGGATCACTGTGCAGTGAAAGCAGCATTCTCTCTTGCTGTTCTGGCTTCTGGGGTAGCTGCACAGCCTGCATTCGCTCCATAAGACGCACACACATTCCCCCTTACTTTTTAGGAGGGAAAAGGTGAGTCTTATAGAGCAAAAAATACGGTAATTTGCTCAATAGCTTTTGTGTCTGCCTTTTAGAAATTACGCTTTCAAACCCTATTATCTCTTGTATTGAGCATGTTTTGTCACTAACCAATTAGGCGTACATCTCATTTGCAAATATTGAAAGGGTTGTGAGCGATATCCTGCCATTTTACTGCTGATTCCACTATAGATTTTAAACAAGCAGTGCAGTTCGGACAGCCGGTTATCAAACCATGGTTGAAGATGTCCTAGCAGGGACTTAGCTTTCATTTCCTCATAGTAAGAAGATTTCATTGCCTTTTCTATTTGCTCCAAATGTTGTACACATTTGGACCTGGCCACAGTGATCCATGCGACAGTCACCTCCAGGCTTGACTACTGTAATTCGCTCTACACGGGGCTGCCCTTGAAGCTATCCCAGAAACTGCAGCGGGTGCAGAATGCTGCAGCGAGGCTCCTCACGGGGTCTCTGCCATGGGAGCATATTCACCCAGTGCTTTTCAAGCTACACTGGCTCCCGGTGGAGTACAGGGTCAGATTTAAGGTGCTGCTTTTGACCTTTAAAGCCCTTCACAGCCTAGGACCCTCGTACCTATGGGACTGCCTCTCCCGGTTTGCCCCACGGAGAGCCTCAAGGTCCATAAATAGCAACACCCTAGTGGTCCCGGGCCCTAAGGAAGTTAGATTAGCTTCAACCAGAGCCAGGGCCTTTTCAACACTGGCTCTGGCCTGGTGGAAAGCTCTTCCTCATGAGACCAGGGCCCTGCAGGATCTGATTTCTTTCTGCAGGGCCTGTAAGACAGAGTTGTTCCGCCTGGCCTTTGGCTTGGAGCCAATTTGATTCTCTCTCCCTCTTTCTTTTTCCTTTTTCCTTTCTCCTCCTGTGATGAGGCTACATTTTAATATTTTATTGTTTCAATATTTTAATGTTGTATTTTAATCTTGTTTTTAAGTTGTAGTCATTCAACTTGTTTTTATTATTGCTTGTTAGCCGCCCTGAGCCCGTCCTTGGCTGGGGAGGGTGGGGTATAAATAATTTTTTTTTAAAATTATTATTATTATTATTATTACTACTACTACTACTACTACTACTACTACTACTACACATTTTGAACACTCTTTGTTAAGCTTACTGAAGGACCAGAAACATCCAGGGCAATGGGGGACTGCTGCACTGCCACCCTCCCACCAGCAGGGTTGCTGTTGCTTACTGGGACAGGGCGGGACAGGAAGGTGGCAAAGTAGGGGCCTGCACAGGCACACTGGCAAAGCAAATATAGAATGGCTGGCACAATGGGGTGGCCCCACCTTTCTCCCACCTCATCCCACTAAATGGCAGCACATCAGTGCCCCAACCGCTCCTGTGCCGTGCCCAAGTGTAGCTTTCCGCGGGTAAATTACGTTGACATTTTTCACGATCACTTCATTCAAGCATCGTTTGGTAATTCATTTGGGCTGCCTTCCTCTAACGAAACGGAACTTTGCCCTCCTCTCCTTTTCAGCCCCCTGTGTGCTTTCAGAAATCAGCTTCCAAGGGTTGTGTGGGGCTCTAGAGTTTGGGGCAAGGGCTGACAGGAGACGAAGGAGATGTTGCGTTGTGCAAGCCCCCTGACTTTGCTGTTTTGTTTTGCTTATTGCCCATCGCTCTGCGTAGCAGATAAATTCCATAACTCACCTTTTTTTGGCACATATTTGTATTAATTTGGGAGACCCCCCAAAATGTTTTGAAGCAGTTGGGTACTTCCCAGTCCCTCGAATGCTGAGGAGATGCAGTAGCGGCTGGCATTCATTCCACCAAATGGAAGATTAAGCTGGATTTTAAAGTAAACTTGAAAATACCTTATCATGAAGTGGGTTTTTCTTTGTATACAAACACAAAAACGTAATGTTCTTCTGCTGGGTCATAAAATGGACAGCAGCTGGGCCTACCACAAGGCCAATAAAGACTTGTAAAGGCACCAGAGGAACAGAAAATAACGATTAAGCCTCTGTACGCATTACCCTTTACTCTGGCTGCAGTGAACTCCTACTGGTGTTGTAGCCGTGATGTTAGCCACAATCTATATCTATCCTGTAGTTTCAGGAGAAAGACTGCCGTTTGATGCATTTTCCCTCAAAACAGCTTCCACCTGGTCGGAAATCATAAGCCACATTCCCTTAGCAGTCAAGCTAAGGTGTGTACCTTTGACACAGCCATTGCACGTGCACATAGGACATTTTCGTGCATAGGAGTTTGTTGCAGGCGCAGGGAAACTAAATAGGTAATGCACATCAGGTGAAGACATCCCCATCCTCTCTCCGGTGTGTACAGCAGCATGCAAAATGTGAATTGAAAAGTAGTGGGGTGTTAAAATTACCTCACTGAACTTTAAGCCACCACTACTGCAGTGTTTCTCAAAACTTTTTTCTCTGGGCCACACTTTCAGAATAAAAATTTGCCCACGCCACATTGAATATTTTATTGGTAAGAAATACACTGGGAAACAAAAACAAACAACTCCCAGCAGTGCTTGGTTTAAAACACAGAACACAACTACTTTACAATATGATCATGATCATGGGTATATAACCCATGATCATCCATAAAGTATATAACAGTGCCGCCACATAAGAATGTGAATCATTCCCGAAATATAATTAGGAACAAGCCTCTTACATATGTACCTTAAGTATTTATACAGACAGACCCAATGAGAGGTATGAGCTTGCTTTTGCCAGGTAATCTCATTTATATTAGGTCTAATTTGAGACAAACAAGCTCTCATCTCCTCATTAACACAAAGAAGTCTTTCTCTTTTCTGAGCTTTCGTATTTGTCAGAGTTGAAAATCCCTGTTCACAACAATTTGATGTGGGGAATTGTAGAAGAATAGCCCATGCTCTTGAAGGCATGGATATTATTTCCAGTTGTGTACGTACGTATGTGTGTGTGTGTGTGTGTGTGTGTGTGTGTGTGCAGATAGATTAGATAGATAGATAGATGACAGATAGATAGATTACTATACTAGACTATACTATACTATACTATACTATACTATACTATACTATATGATACTATACTAATGTTCAACTGTTTCTTTGATTGTCCTTGAATCTTCCTCACCTGCCACACCAATGAGGCACATCACACACAGCCAAAAAGTGCAACACTATACATGCTTACCCAGAAGTGAGTCCCAGTGAGTTTCAACACGGCTTATTCCTAGTTAAGTACGTACAGGAATGCAGTCTATAAAAGTTACGAGTTACTTAGGCTGCAATCCTAATTCCATTTACCTGAGAATAAGCCCCACCAAATTCAATAGCTCTTTAATATATATGTGTGTGTGTGTGTCAGTTTAAATATTTCAGATTGGTACTCAATAGGAGCTTCCCATCACTACAGATCTAGTTAATTCGCTATTGGATTTTGAATTCCCACCTTGCAGTTCCATGAAAATTATGCGCAGATGAAGAAAGGTGATAGAGAGAAGTTCTTCTCCCTTGTGGTACTAGATCCCAGGGCACCCAAGGAAACTGACTGGCGGAAGCCAAAAGCAAGTACTTCTTCACAAGATGCGTAACCAGTTTGTGAAACTCACAAAGATGTGGTGGCGGTCGCTAGCTTAGATGACTTCAAACAGGATTAGACACTCATAGGCCTTTCTATGGCCAGCCTATCAGCACTATATGGAAGGCACGGGGAGAGGATTTCAACCAGCATAGTCCCAAGGTCTTACTCACTACATCACTGGGGCAAGATGTCAGGGAGAGGGAGCCACTGACCTGAGATCTGCTGTGCTGCAGTGCCACCCACCCAATGGCCAGAGAAGGTATTGCATCTCATTAGTCCACTTCTGGCCCACAGGTCCCTGATCGTATGGAGTCCAGAGGAAATAGTTTGCGGCTGGCCATTTTGGAAAACAAGTTGCTGGAAAGAATGGAGCTTCAGTCTGATCCAGTAGGCCTCTCCTCCTGCGTGCCAGTCAGTCATTTTAAGGGGTGGGGGTTATCCTCCCCCTGTGTTTCAGGCCTAATGCTTCAGGAGAACCTCTGCACATCTGGACCACTTGCTGGTTCTACCTACTCGGGGGACTCTTCTTATAAACAATTAAGTGGCTCTAGAAACGAGCTATATTGAAGTGAGAGCTGTATGGAAGTGAGACCTGGACCATAAAGAAGGCTGATCGCCGAAGAATTGATGCTTTTGAATTATGGTGCTGGAGGAGACTCTTGAGAGTTCCATGGACTGCAAGAAGATCAAACGCATCCATTCTTAAGGAAATCAGCCCTGAGTGCTCACTGGAAGGCCAGATCGTGAAGCCGAGGCTCCAATACTTTGGCTACCTCATGAGAAGAGAAGACTCCCTGGAAAAGACCCTGATGCTGGGAAAGATGGAGGGCACAAGGAGAAGGGGACGACAGAGGACGAGATGGTTGGACAGTGTTCTTGAAGCTACCAGCATGAGTTTGACCAAACTGCGGGAGGCAGTGGAAGACAGGAGTGCCTGGCGTGCTCTGGTCCATGGGGTCACGAAGAGTCGGACACGACTAAACAACAACAACAACTTTTCTAGGAAAAAAGAGGTGCCAGAACTCACCTCTCTTGTTATCTTACCATGGCAATGGCGCCCACCTGAGAGGTGCCGGAATTGGAGTTCCAACTGGGAAAAAAGCCCTGGCGTTAATCATATTTACCACAGATAGGTGGAAACTGAACCCGTGCACAACCGAGATGAGAATCGACAACTAGGTAAATATCCCAACTGGGCTATGAAGCAGATTTCCATTGCAAGTTGCATGCAACGCCACAGTGATTATACTGTTGAAACGAAATAAAAAGAAATACCCAAGCTGGGTGGGTCTCTGGCATGGAGTGTTATAGAACTCTGGCTGCATCCTTTCATGAGAATGGTGACGGATCCATAAAAAGCCTTCTGGAGGAAGGAGTATTGCAGGTGGAGGCAGGAAGTCTGAAAATGCTGTTCAGCAAGCGGCTGCTCTAGAGTGTTGGTCAGGGATGGGGAGCCTGTGGGCCTCCAGGCATTGCTGGGCTACAGCTCCCATCATCCCACACCATCGGGAACACTGGCTAGGGCTGATAGGAAATCATAGGAACACAAGAGTCTGCCCTCTGCTGAGACAGGCCATTGGTCTATCTAGCTCAGAACTGCCTGTACTTGACTGGCAGCGGCGTTTTGAGATAGGAATGGCCCTACCTGGAGATGCCAGGAATTGAACCAAGGACCTATGCCTACAAAACAGGGCTAAGGCCCTCCCCAGAGGAGCGCCACAGGTTCCCCAACTTTGCTCCAGGCACTTCGGTAGCAGCAAGAGGATTGCTATTTACTAATTATTTTTTCTTCTGGGAGCACATTTCCAAGACTGATGGCCAGTTCCATCTATTTAGGAACTGGATGTTGAGACGCATCTATTATTTTTCGTGCAATATGGGTACAGTGGTACCTCGGGATGCAAACGGGATCCGTTCCGGAGCCCCGTTTGCATCCCGAACGGAACGTAAGACGCGACAGTGCGTCTGCGCATGTGTGGGTCGCATTTCGCCACTTCCATGCATGCGCATGATGTCATTTTGACCGTCTGCGCATGCGCGAGCGGCGAAACCTGGAAGTTACTTCTGGGTCGCCGTGGAGCGCAACCTGAAAATACTTATCCTGAAGCGTATTTATCCCGAGGTATGACTGTACTTGTGCCCTTTGCGTCAAATTGTGCCCCTGGTCAATCCTCCATTTTCCAAATGTCGTGACCGCTGAATCGAGCACTGAGTTGGCAGCTACAGGTGCACCCAAGGGATAGACAGCTCAGGTTCACAGCTCAGAGCTGACGACTGGGCATGAAGATGACCATTGCACCTGAGGCAGTTGGACAGCACACCCCAGAGGACCTTCCCAGGGCCTATAGGGCCAGAGACTAGACCTTCACAGACATCTCTCCCCGAAGAAACAGATGCCTCCCACCACATGTCAGCAGTCCCCTGGCGGAGGGAGCATATCAGGCTATAGAACAGAGGAGGAATGCTGTCGTCAGGCCAGAGCTGGCCCTTTAAGGCACGGAAGTTCTCTCAAGGGGGTGGAGCCTGGAGGAGGTGGTCTAGAAACATAAGCTGAAAAGGCATCAGTCTGCTCCCAAACTTTGCCAGAGCAAGTTGCTGACCTGGAGCTGCCTATGAGCTTCCAGCCTTGCGGCTTTATCTGTAGCATCGGACACTGGACCAGAATACAACACTAAGCATTTTTAAGGCTGCCACAGTAGGAAGCAAGGTCCATGAAACACATTGAAAAGGCCTGCACATGTAAAAATATATACAGAATCATCCTAAAAGCACTCTATTACCTTATCGAGTCCATTTCCAGTGCATCCCAGCAGTGGTGAAGTTGAGCAAAAGGTAGACGTGACTAGATGGAGTGCACAGACTCCAGATGACGAATATCTTGCAGTGGAATCCAAAATTGTCATGGTGACTAAGCCCTGCAGAGGTAGGACACGGAAAGAACGGTATGAATCAGCCTTGAGCCTTGGCTGGAAAAGGAAAAGACTCATTGGATGGGTAAATGCAACATCTAACTCAACAACACTTCAATATCCAGCAAAAATCAAATAAGCCCTGCAATGAAACTGCCTTCATTCCTGTCATTACTTTTAAAGCACCCCGCCTCCATTTCTTTTTATGCTGGTGGCCAATTACATTTATTAGTTCTCCCTAGCAACACACATCCACAACACACACACACACACACACACACACAGAGAGAGAGAGAGAGAGAGAGAGAGAGAGAACAAATTGTACTAGACAAATAGATAGCAAATACTATACAAGATAGAGGAAGGAATTAGCAGCTTATTCAATGAGGTGACTGAAATAGTCATTTTGAGACACCTGTATTTTTTGAATTTATTACTGAAGGGTTTACAGGTGAAATAACTGCATGCTCTTCCCCTGTTTCCTCCTGCCCCCACTTTCCTCATTGTTAAGTTGTGGGCGAACATATCAGACGACACAGCGATTCTTCCAAAGCAGCTCTTTATTTGTAAGCTGGAACAGAACTGAACTGAGGAGCTCAGTCAGCCTGCTTATATAGAGCTCCACTAGAATGCAACAGTAACCATTTTCTGTAACTAGCCAATCACTGAACGTCACTTTCGATCCTTCATTTACATACAAACCATCCAATCACTGAACGTCACTTTTGAGCCTTCATTTGCATAACTATCTACAGTATCCCCCTGCTGGCCCAGGGTGAGAACTTCAGTACATAACACCCCTCCCCACCGAGATAAGGCGTTAGTTACAATCGTAATGGTTTCCTTATATACAGCACTACACGTAATGGTTCAATTAGGCACAAAAGCATATCGGTTACATTTCACATACTTAGACCAACAGTGATACGTGTCCAACAACATAGTCCTTTAAATAAGCTGGGCGCTTGGAAACTCTGCCAGACCGCCGGGGACTGGTAGCCAAGTCCGGGGAGCCACACAATTCTTGCTGAGGCTGTGGTGCGACCCTAGGTGGCGTTGAAACCAAGTCCCCTGGATCCGCTGCTGTGGGTGGAATCTCCGCAAGTGGAGTTGGCGGAATGTCAGGCACGGCAGTGGTCTGAGTCTGTGGTAAGTCTGGCAGAGTTTCCAAGCGCCCAACTTATTTAAAGGACTATGTTGTTGGACATGTATCACTGTTGGTCTAAGTATGTGAAATGTAACTGATATGCTTTTGTGCCTAATTGAACCATTACGTGTAGTGCTGTATATAAAGAAACCATTACGATTGTAACTAACGCCTTATCTCGGTATAACTATCTACAGTATCCCCCTGCTGGCCCAGGGTGAGAACTTCAGTACATAACACCCATGCTGAATGTTAAGGCTGCAATCTCTTTGGGGCAGGGACCTCTCCTGCTCGTCTTGCACATCACCTCCAGGGGCCATTCCTAGGCCTCAGGTTTGGGCCCAGAAATCTCATGGTCTGGGATGTTCCTGACCCGGCAACACTAGTCATCGGCATCAAGGCAAGAGTCAACTGGTCGGCTTCTGTGCCTTGGAATGGAAAGATCCGCCATGTTGTGTAGCAATTCTGTAACAACCAGCAATTCTGACCGGTCTGTGAACAAGTTAGCATAGCTGGCGATATTGAAACCTCAGGTTTTTGTGCCTAGCAAATCTTTATTTTAATTTTGTTCTGACCACATTGCAGGCCACATTCCTTTAGCACTATAGATTTGCTTTTGGCTTCTCTGCACAGAAGATTTAAGTTCAGGCAACCTCCCCCATCAGAAGTATAGGATCTTGGCATAAGAATGCTATGAGCCTTTTTAAGGACAGGAAAGGGCTTCATTTAGAACAGCTTCCACCAGCATAATTTCCACATTCTGTACTGACTCTCTAGAGGATCCCATAAGGGACAAACTAGGAGCGTGCACATCACGTCACAGCAGAAATAAACGACAGTTGCTTGCCTGGTTAAATATAAACGCAGGTTTCCAGAAGTTTGCTCACCACAGCCTAGTCATATTTTTCCCTCCAGCTTTGTTTCCATGAAACAGCTGGAGATGAAAACTATAATACTAATCTTACCCAGTTGCTCCTGGTAATATTGTACATTCAGGAAATTCATAATTAGGCATTTATATCCTCACCGTTTCCCCTCCGGCACTCTGCGACTTTCTCCATTCGTCTTTTCTTTGCCGTTAGAAATTCAGTCGAGAGGGAAGGCGACGAGATGCAAACTACAGAGAAGCTTAACAACCTCTGCTAATTTTAAACAACAGTTCCAATATAATTTTATCCAAACATGTCCCCCTGCAGTTCCGGCCATTTTTAATGCACTCATTCCCCACATAGGCAAATGCATCTCCTCTGTCCTTTCTCTTGCTCAAGAATTACTTAAATATATTTAATTCAGCTGTACAGTGGTGCCTCGCAAGACGAAATTAATTCATTCTGCGAGTTTTGTCGTCTTGCGATTTTTTTCGTCTTGCCAAGCACGGTGTCGGGAAAGTTTTGGAAAAGCTTCAAAAATCACCAAAGTCTTTAAAAACCTCAAAAAAGGCTACCACACCGCGTTCTATGAGTTGCTCCTCGAAGTCAAGTCGCAACTGTATTAACGGTGTTAAGACAAAGGAAACAAACTTGCAAGACGTTTCTGTCTTGCGAAGCAAGCCCATAGGGAAAATCGTCTTGCGAAGCAGCTCAAAAAACAAAAAACCCTTTCGTCTAGCGAGTTTTTTGTCTTGCGAGGCATTCGTCTTGCGAGGTACCACTGTAGTCTTACGTCTTTCACAGGTATAAGGTATTTATTAGGTCAAGGCTTTTTTTCCTGGTATGAAGATGCTGAATTCTTGCTTGCTGTTAGATCATACATGGGGAACCTGTGGCCCAAAAGCCAGGCCTCTCTCTCTGGGCCTCAAAACTCAGGGCACCCCCTCACCAGCCCTGATTTGAAGCCTCCTAGGATGTTATTGCCAGGCTAGAACTTGTCCTATGTGATCTCTGATCAGACTTCTTAACTTGCCTGTATAGAGGATGGAGAGGAATGACTGAGTGTGAAGAAACAAAGGTAATATTCACATTATTTGCTCTGCCCACTGTTGATGTGGCCCCTGGGGTGACAATGGTCCTCCACCCTTGTGTTAGGCGCACCGGAGCACTCACCCAGGGAGAAAGATGGCCACTCTGCTTGCGTTGGTTTGTATCCCTCCAAACCCACACCTGACACCCCTCGCAATAGCTGAATAATTCAGATAGAATGTCTAGATCAGGCTTCCTCAACCTTGGCCCTCCAGATGTTTTTGGCCTACAACTCCAATGATCCACAGCTAGCAGGACCAGTGGTCAGGGATGCTGGGAATTGTAGTCTCAAAACATCTGGAGGGCCGAGGTTGAGGAAGCCTGTTCTAGACACTCAGAACAGTCTTACAGTCCCCTACAACAATCACTAAGAAAACTGCCTACTGGAGAGACACGATATCTGGAAGAACAACAAAACAAAAGTGTTTTGGGGATGAGGAGCCCTTCAGATGTGAGACAGGGAATACACAGTTCAGATCTCATCTCTGTCCTGAACTCACAATGTGACCTCAACTCTTCCATCTGTAAAATGGGGAGAATAAATAATATTGTTTTTCATTATCATAGTGTCACAGAATATCTAGTATAACCCCCTGAAATGCAGGAATATGCAGCCATCCCATACAGGGATCGAACCTGCAACCTTGGCATTAACAGCACTGTTCTCTAACCAGCTGAGCTATGGTGAATCAGCCTATAAGAGTGGGGGTGGGGCGGGACCTTCCGGGGCCAATGGGCAAGATCTTTATTTTCCCCCATCACTTGCTCCAACACTGACAAGTGGGCAGGAACACCTGTCAATCATTTGTTGTTAGCATTACCTCAGGTGATTGACAAATGTAAAAGGCAGCTCACAAGAGTGTGGGGGGGAGATTTTTATTTATTTATTTATTAAATTTGTATACCATCCTTCATCCACAGATCTCAGAGCACTTCACAATGTAAAAATACAATATAAAAACACAGAATACAAAGAAAGAACCCTCACAAACCAATAACACACACACACTGTTTCCCAAAATATGTGGTAGTCAAAATATGGGGGGGGAGGGGACAACAAGTCAACCATTCTAAGACCTCGCTTTATGCTAGGATAAAAGTCAAAAAACAGTTGCAAGATAGTCATCTGCAGAATTTCCATGCACAATGTTTTGGCTGCATAGAAAGGTGGAATAAAGAGCCATCCCTACCATTAGCCAGAGCACAGCAGCTGCCTCAAGCAGCCTATTTTGGATGTCATGAAAAGGCACCAAATGGTAAGGTAACTCTATGACCAAACCAGACATAAAACTGCACTTTCCTTTAGCTCATCCTTCCGCAACCTGATACTTTCCAGATGTTTCAACTGCACATCCTGTTAGCCAATAGGCAGTACGGCCCAAAACATCTGCCATGTTGGCTGGGACTGCAAAATATTTGGAAGCCACCAGATTAGGAAAGGCTGCTCTCGCTAGCATGCCTAAATTCTGATGGCAAACTGTTCCTCAGCAATACAGTTCAGGAATCCGGGATTAGTTTGGGATCATAAAGAAGCAGTCCAAAAATACATGTAATAATCACATGCAAATAATCTTCAAGCAACAAACGTCACACAAGCCATAAACCACTCCAATAATTTGCACGGCAATTCAATGCAATTTACAGCGCTGTATCAGTCAAGAAACATAGTAGGGGAACAAATTATTCCTAGTTTGAAGTGTCCTCAGTGAAACTTTATCCCTGTTACTGGGAAACATCTGTGCTTCATCCAGACATTAAAGGAGGACACTCCTCGTTTCCCCCATCCCTAATAATTTGCCAAGTTCATTAATGTCTCCTGAGCACAGCTTAAACCTTACAGAGCGAAGATACAAATTGCAATATATCCTACCCTGAAAGATATTTCTAACATTGCATTTGTTTAGAGGGTCCTTGTAGATCCAGGGCAGGTTAGATTCTGCTCAAGACAAGGGTGTATAGAGGGTTACATGCACTGAGGGTTTAATGGGTCAGTTCAACATAAGCATTAAATTAAACCGAATCAACAGCAAACAATAGTAACACTGCAATTTGGGGTGGGGATTGATATTCAGATATCTACAAATCTCCTCCCGTTAACATGTGGAAGGAGGCTCATAGTTATGGACTCTGCCTGGTCAGGAGAAGGTAGAAACGCATTCATATCACAGTTCCTCTGTTAAGTATAATAATTCAATTCACTGAAACTGGAAATTCTTGTACTCATTACAGTGGAACCTCAGTTGTTGAACGCTTCGGAAGTAGAACGTTTTGGCTTTTGAACGCCGACAACTCAATAGTGAATGCTTCCATTTTCAAGCGTACCTCGGAAGTCAAACGGCTTCCAAGGCGCGTTTCTCCATTTTTTCAATGGATTTTGCATTGCACCTCGGTTGTCAAACGTTTCGGAAGTCAAACGGTCTTCCGCAACAGATTACTTTTGACAACCGAGGTTCCACTGTACAGTGTGTTTAAATTTGATTGGCTGGTAACTGAATTCTAGAGAGTTCTCTGGTAGTTCTCATGTGATTGGCTAACCGTGTTCACATGGGAAGTATTTAGTGGCTCCATTTAATGTGAAGCAAGATGGCTGCATTTTAGAATCCACTGTGAACACTGCTAAGTTGAATAGAGCGTTGGAGTGCTTGAAAGAAAGAGAGCAAAGGTGCAGGAGAAGGTAAAGATTGGAATTTCTCATAGGAGCTGTAAGGCATGACCTATCTGAGATACAGAAGGCTGAGCACTGAGCTCGGGAAATAGAGGAAAATACAGTTGTTTGGAAGTTAGAAGAAGAGACTGCAAGCCCATGCTTGGAGAAGCATGTGGCTGTAAATATTATGTTTTAATTCATCTATAACTAAAAGTTTCTGCAAGTAACATTTTTGAATGTTAAAGTCTGGACATGGGTGGGGTATAAGTAATAAATTATTATTATTATTATTATTATTATTATTATTATTATTATTATTATTATTATTTCCAAAGAAGAGCCAGCTTTTTACTTTAGGTGACTTTATGCTCTGCTTTCCCCTCTTTGACATATTTTTGCATCAGTGCCGGAAGACTGCACGCCTCAGCAACAAGGAAGGAACATGACAGAGATGTAGAAAGAAAAAGGTTTTCCTCCCTCTCTCATAATATTGGAATCTGGGAACCTCTAATGAAGCTGAATATTGGAAGACTCGGAACAAGTGAAAATATTGTTTCACACAGTGCATAATTAAAACTAAGGAAATGCCTTTGAGCCTGAAGGCAGGGACCATTTTAACACTGTTTTTTGTAAGTCATTCTGAAAGGCTTTTTGGCTAATGGGTGAGGAATAAATTCCACAAATAAAGAAGATACACAATTCTAATTCAGCCATCCTTCATTATTTCAATATAATTCCCCAGTCACTCTCGGCGGCTCCCAACAGAATATTAAACAGAATACAACTTCAAACATTAAAAACTTCCCAAAACATCAGATTTGGCCTTCTGTCTCTGTAAGAGAACAGATGCGTTTATTTTATTTTATTTTATTAATGCTCTTTTTCTGCCACAACTGGACATATTTGGGGCTTGTGGCCAGTTCTTGAGACCTGGTGCAGCTGCTCACAGGACACACTAGGAATCAGGTTCCAGAATCCCGGAACAAGAGGCACCAGAAGCCTCACACTGCCAGTTGTTGCTTCCCTGCCGCAATGCAAAAGAGTCCGAAAGAACATTGCAAATCAGGGAGAGCTTGGATAGACAAGGGCTGCTGCTCCATGAAAGAACATCTGCTTTGCATGCAAAAAGGTTCCAGGTTCAATCCCTGACACAGTTCAAACTATTATGTGCCTTTTGCTTGCCTGGATAGATGATAGAGAAGGGCGCGCTACTGTTCTGCAGTGTAAAAGAAGGCTGATCGCCGAAGAATTGATGCTTTTGAATTATGGTGCTAGAGGAGACTCTTGAAAGTCCCATGGACTGCAAGAAGATCAAACGTATCCATTCTGAAGGAAATCAGCCCTGAGTGCTCACTGGAAGAACAGATCCTGAAGCTGAGGCTCCAATACTTTGGCCACCTCATGAGAAGACTCCCTGGAAAAGACCCTGATGTTGGGAAAGATGGAGGGCACAAGGAGAAGGGGACGACAGAGGACGAGATGGTGGGACAGTGTTCTCAAAGCTGCCAACATGAGTTTGACCAAACTGCGGGAGGCAGTGGAAGACAGGAGTGCCTAGCGTGCTCTGGTCCATGGGGTCACGAAGAGTCGGACACGACTAAACAACAACAACAAATAGCATTACAACCAGGAAAACGAACACTATAAACCCCACATCTGAATGCAGCCCACATTTGTGCAAGTTTGCAGCCTGAGGCTTCCACAAGTGAAGGAAGAGTCGGAGACAATGGAAAATGGAGCTCAGTTCCACTAGCCATAGGCAAACTACAATGAGCATGGTCCTTAACATTTCTACGTCTTTGTCTGTGGTGTAAAATCCCCTTGTTGCACAAGCTCTCCCTTGGGAGGCCCTCCGGGCCCCACAGTTGTATAACTTCAGCTGCATAGCAAACATCTGCCTTTGAGGATCTGCCTATCTTGAGCATTGATTGAATTTACTGATTTCCCTGACGCTTAAAAAAAAGGATCCTTGTAACATGCTGTGCTTTTTGACCTGTTCTTTAAAAATTCATTCTGAATTTATATTTCTTTTTTAGCTCTGCTAGTGAAAGAAAGACATGATAAAATAAGTTTGATAAATTATCTACCAGCACTAGCAGTGCAAAGCTTCACTTTGGCTAAAACCACGCAGGACCTTTCAATATCAGAGAGAGAGTGTGTGTTATGAAAGATAACAAATGCAAGTTATGTTAACTAATAGCCAGAATTGGCCCAAGCCTATGTACTTACAGGAAACTTAAAGCAGGAACAACAAGCACTTCTCAGGCTCTTTACAATGTGTCCCTCAGCTATGAGATTTAATTCTGATAATCCTCCAAAAAATCAAGGAAGAAGGAAATTAATAGTTCCAGAGAAACTATTATCTTGGCTTCTGCAAACATTGGCTACGAATGTTTGTTAGTGCAACAGCTTTAGCTCAGTGGAGCTGGAAGCCTCCTTCAGTCTTGGTCAGGTTCTTTCAGACAATCCAGTAGTTGAGCAACGCTTTATACCCCAGGGCAGTTTTTCTTCCAAGCATTTCCATCACTACACAAGGGATTTCTGCAACAAAGCACATGCTTCTTTTTTAAAAGGTTTTGCTTAATGTCCCGTCCCCCGTCCCCCGCTTAATACATGTGTTTTTAAATATTTTTTTAATGGAACGTTTAAGGAAACAGCTGTCCTGTGCATGCATGAGATCCTGTTAGAATCCACCTGCACAGTGGTCCCCCCTCCTGCATCTACTGTAACCGCTCCCCCTCTCTCCCCATCCCAGGGGATTATTAACTTTCGTCTTGTTTACTCCAGGGAAAGCGCCTTAAGCAAACTGAAAGATGGCCAATCTACTTTCAACTAACATGAAAGCTGTCTGAAGGAGACACCTGGACCTGATCCCAGTTGCTACCTGTCTGGACCTGATTTCAGACCTAACAATGACAAGAGATGCCTTCCCCAGTCTTGATTCTGCAAACGCAACTCATACTCTGGCTAGCTCCTGACATTCTCTATATGAACCCAAACCACCCATCTTCCTATATTGGGTATCTTCAACCTTTGTTGTTGTTGAG